TAAGGGAGCTCTTTTGGTCCCTTAAATTTATTAAGGTTAAATTGTTACTAAGGACTTTGTAGCAACACTTAAGGGAACACTTAAATAATTAAGGGGAATACTTAATGGCAGCCTTAAGGTTCCTTAAGTTGACCCATAGGTTTTTTTCTTGCAACCCGAGTTTCACTAAGGGCTCCCTTAACCTTATAACTAAGGGATTTCTTAGCATAAGGGCTTTCATGCAACCGGGCCCAGAACCTAAAGTTTATTCTAGGAGAACTGAGGGTGATTGTCCTGCACTGAAAAAAAAAATTATTATTTTTTTTAATTTACTTTCACTTACAAATAGTACATTTCACAGATAATTACAAAGAAACGACATTAAACACATTCAATTAACCATCATGTTGTGATCCGGTCATTTTGACCTAGGCTAGAGAGGTCAAGATTTTGTGATAAAATAGCACCAAAAAATAAAATAATTTTTATTTTATATAGGTTGGTCATTTTTGATCCACAACAGTTTTTCAGCACAGCACAGGACATTTTGACATAGACAAACTGTAAGTGTAAAAATGAAATGTACTTAATTGTTGTTTTATTTACAATTTGTAAGCGACTTGGATGTAATGTGTCTGCTATGTTGGTAAACTCATTTCAGTATCTCTTTAGATTAATTTTACTGATCATATGCTGTTTTTTTGTCATATTCTGTGTGACAGGGGTTGTTTCAGTGTGTCTGTTTCCATCTGGCAGACAGCGTTTAGGTAAACGAGTTTGTCTCAGATGAGCGGAGCATGTCATTGCTCGGCCTGTGATCAATTATGATAAACGATGACAACAGCTACGTGATTTATACTGTTATTAAACAGCACAGTCAATGAATCTGCACAGCCCATACATTCAGAGAAGAAGTATAAATGCTGTGCATCTGACTTAAACACAATATATCCCAACACATGTAACGCAGAGCATGCTGTGAACAAATTGAAGTTCTTGGGAAGGATTTATGGCCAGAGAAATCCCAGAATGCTGTGTTGCAGCTAAATGAGTGATAGCTTCATTAAGAGCTCGTATGAATCACCCTCTCCCCCACGCATCTAAGTCTATACTCACATCTTCAGCCCCTTTGTTTCTATCTTCCGTCAATATCGCTGCCGTAACGGGCCCGGCTAATGCAGAGTATTGCAGGATGGAGGCAGTTTAGAGCCCTCCGCTGTGCTTCATCCATTTGTGACAGTAATATACTCCTGATTAATACTCCTTATTAAAGTGAAAATGAAAATTTCCTGAAAATTCAGGAAACACCTTCAGGCCATCCAAGATGTAAATGAGTTTGTTTCTTAATCAGAACAGATTTGGAGAAATTTACCATTACATCCCTTGCTCACCAATTGATCCTCTGCAGTGATTGGGTGCCGTCAGAGTGAGAGTCCAAACAGTTGATAAAAACATCACAATAATACACAAGTAATATAAGTAATCCATAAACTGCGTGTTTGTAAACAAATCCACCATTAAACCATGTTTTACACTTCAAATCGATGGTTCCTGCTAAAATACAACTCATCTCGTCTGAATCAGGAGATAAATATGCACGGATCAAGAACAGGTTACAAGTGAAAAAACAGTCCAAAATAGTTCTAAACAAATATGTTGGTGGATTTTGATTTGAGTGGATAAAAGAAGATGGACTTTTCACTGCAGGAAGCATTAATATGGAATATAGAAGCACTCAGTATTAATGATGGGTTTGTTTCTTACAAATACACAGCTTTTCGCTTCACAAGATGTTAGCTGATGGACTGGAGTTGTGTGGATTACTTTTGGATTATTGTGATGTTTTTATCAGCTGTTTGGACTGGCACCCATTCACTGCAGAGGATCTATTGGTGAACAAGTTATGAACATTTTTCAAATCTGTTCCGATGAATCACCCTCTCCCCCACGCATCTAAGTCTATACTCACATCTTCAGCCCCTTTGTTTCTATCTTCCGTCAATATCGCTGCCGTAACGGGCCCGGCTAATGCAGAGTATTGCAGGATGGAGGCAGTTTAGAGCCCTCCGCTGTGCTTCATCCCACAGCAGGTCTGATTTATGAGCCAGGTGGCTCTGCCTGTCTCTCTGGAGCTGGAGACAGGGGGATGCTGTCTAACACCCCGTCCTGTCTCTCTGTGTCAGGAGAGACAGACAGCGTCTGCCTGAAAATGAACCACGTTTCACTGAGAGGCATCCAGAGGCTAGCAGGGTAAATCTCACAAAACCTGTTCTTCTAAAAAAACAGTGATATATTATTTAAATCGTGAAGCATTTGTAGTATTTGTTGCTTGTATGTTGATTTAAATAAAATATGAATACATTCATATTTCAAATATTATACTAATAATAAAATAGGCTACTATGTTTTTAATTATGGAAAATTAATATTTTATTTTTTTAAATACATTTACAATTATACATATTTAATAAAAAAAAAGTAACACACACATACACACAACAAATATGTTGGTGGATTTTGATTTGAGTGGATAAAAGAAGATGGACTTTTCACTGCAGGAAGCATTAATATGGAATATAGAAGCACTCAGTATTAATGATGGGTTTGTTTCTTACAAATACACAGCTTTTCGCTTCACAAGATGTTAGCTGATGGACTGGAGTTGTGTGGATTACTTTTGGATTATTGTGATGTTTTTATCAGCTGTTTGGACTGGCACCCATTCACTGCAGAGGATCTATTGGTGAACAAGTTATGAACATTTTTCAAATCTGTTCCGATTCCGAAGAAACAGACTCATCTCCATCTTAGATGGAGTACATTTTTAGGACATTTCCATTTTTGGGTGGACTATTGTTTGACTGAATAATTGTGTTCACAAAAGATCAATACCGATGTATACTCAATTTTCCCCTTTTCTTTTCCTTTTAATGACCAATGACAGAAAACTTTTTATACTTTAATTTGTATGTGTACAGTATATGTTTTCTCTTGTGTCTTTATTTTCAGTTTGTTTTATCTTCACACTCATATTTATCAGTGTTGTTGGGTGACTGAAGCCCATGATGTTTTGGTTACAGACATGTGTCCTCTCACATGAGACGGATGATTATAGTTTGTTTATGGGAACTGTTGTGTTGTGAAATTAAAATAGTCTGGTGTAAACTTCATTATGGGAATAGATGAGAGAAAATCACCTCTTCCTGTTGAGCTTAGATAAATGTTTGTCACAAACTGAGTTGAAATGCAACACTGATGATCGCCCCGTCACATCAAGGGAATTTATAATGCTCTATACTGTACAGTATCATTCACGGCACCTTTTGTTATGCCTTTCCCAACTTGACTTTTTTTTTGGAGGTCTGGGTCTGTTTTTCTTGCTTTCTTTACTCACAGTGTTTATATGTTTTGAATGCATTTAGCATTTTTTCTTTGTCAACAAATAATCAGTAAAAGGAGATACATTTCGGAAAAGTCCAACAAAATATCATATGAGCTGTTTTATTCAGTTCATCATGCATAATGAATATGCATAATTTATAAGTTCATGCATTCCATGGGATTTGAACCCATGACCCTGGCGTTGCTAGCACCAGTGCTTTTCTATTCATTTTCTTTTAAGTTTGCCTAAACTCTTAACTCTTATTTCTGGAAATAAATTCAAAATAAATATACAAAATGTATCAAAAAATATAAAATGATTATGAAAATGTGGGATACAGCCAAGTACTCTTTTTGTTGTTGATAATGGAAATTATTTAATAATTAAAAACTGTTTTTTTTTTTTTACTACAAAGATTTGTGCCACTTATGGAGTGGTTTGGCTGGAGCACTAGTTCTCTCCCAAGCTGTTTGTTTTCTTTGTCTCAATTCCAAAGCACAAACCAGAGAACCTTGTGGGAATTTTAAATGGGTTTCATTGTGATAATTTTGGCAGTGTTGAATTAGTGTGAAGTCAGTGAAATCAAATTTGACCCTGTGTGCTTCTTTAACGAACAGACCTGGTCTTGTTTTACCATATTTGTTGCAGATGAACAATGAAAAATGTTTGTCTTTGTTTAATCTGGTTTATAGTTTAATTTTTCATCACCATGTGATAACTTGGTGAACCTCTGACATGACTTTCTTTTTTCAATATGAGATGCAATCCACAAGCCAAATTACTTCTTAATAATCTGACATTTATATGTCATGTTTATATTTATATAAGTGAAACGGGAAAGGAAAAATGTATTTTATCCATCAGGAATTGGTTGGAGCTTGGAAAATGGGTATGATAATCATTCTGAATGTTATGTTGGATGTCTATTTCAGAGGATTGTCTATTAAAGTTAACATTCTGTACAACCAACGAGTTTGTAAATCAGTCTGAAGCTAATAAGGTTTTTTAATTATATTGTCATTGAAAGCATTGAATTCAAGTTCATAGAGTTAATTACACCCTGATGCTTTGCCACAGTTTCTGCACATTATTAGTTACAGTAATGTACTGTTGATGTATGCCTGAGGTGCTGTGATGCTAATTTGCAGTCACATCACTTCATACATGCGGAGTGTCTAACCAGACCCTGGTAGACTGTAATTAGTCACTAGCTCTAGCACACTATATAGATTGATTCCGTGCAATTAGCTGAGACAATGTGGACCCCATCTTATTGATTCAGGTAGTAGCTTGCAATCTGTCATCTGAACGTCGTCGGCATGTGCGATGGGTTCAAGCATTGTGTCCTAAGTGCTTTGGTGTGGTTTGTTTTGGGCTTCGTTTCCAGTAAAAATCTCAAGAGTGTTCAGTTCAATTACTGTTCTTTTCCTTAAATTGATTTTCGTCCTGTTAGTGAAGAAAAAAACGCTGTTTGAGAACCATTTTCTTGATCTGTGATAGAAGTCAAAATGTCAGCACAGCTGACCAAAACAGATGCAACTGATGAAAAATGACTGTAAAATTATAATTGTACGTAAAATATTCACCAAAAAATGTAGAAAAAACAATCAGGCTATAATAGTCTTTCTTTCTCCACCAGACCCTCCTGTTGTGGATCCAGTCCTGCTGGATGTCCGTTCTCAAACGTTTTCGACAGTCAATCTCCGATGCCTGATTCTCAAGTCCAATCCAAACCGAATAGCCAGCGCCCGCTGGTATCGCAATGGACTGCCCATCCGAACCCCAACGGTGGACCCTCAAAGTGTCCCTCAGCTTCGCTTCAAACTAGACACCACTAATAACGGCACTTACGAGTGCAGAGTGAGCAATGGAGTCGGGACCTCAACCTGCACCTTCATTGTGTCTGGTGAGTTGTAAAAAACTGTATGTACATTGGGTGCTGTACCTTACAGAAAAACTTTAACCTAAAAAATAGATGAGTATTATGTGGGAGAATTGATCTTCATGCTTTCCCATAGCCTTGGGTCTACTAGTCTTGCTATAGGAGGGTTATCAAACTTTGTCAAGAGTCAGAAGTCATACTTTGTTTGTCTTCTTATTCCTGTTGTTTGAGCACAAGCAGTCTGGTTTATTCAATTTGATCTGTGCTGTAGAAATCTTGGTCATACCAGTAAAGGTGGCCAGTTGCATAAAGTAGTCTTACAAGTTAGTCATCTAACTTTTGTCTTTAACAAGAATGATCTAATTTGAATCTGAAAAGTAAGACTGATGACCCCTGCTCATCGGCAAGACTAGTTCTTCATAGTCAACTAGTTTGGCCAAGCTAGTCTACTAACCTTAACCGTGATGGCCAAGATGGTTTGCCTGGAACCAAAAGCTGCTAGCATAGATGATCAACTATTTAAAAATGTTGCATTTGATTTATTCCAGAAAATCGGATCTTTCAAATAGTTTCAGTGAACCATTACAAAAATACTATTTATGCCTTCCGATACATCATAACATGGTTTATTAAGACTTGTTAATAAGGGACTTTATTTAATATAAACCTTTATGAAATATAAAACAGGTTTTGTGAACTTGTTCAACTGATTCACTGACCCGACTCAGAAGAACAATTATTTCAGACATCTTTACAACTACCTAAACCATCTTGGATAACCTAAAGACCACAACTGACTAGCTTGGACCAACTAAACCATATGAAACCACTATGATCAAGCTGGTTTAAACTGGATCTTCCATCTGGCATTACATAATCAGTTCTGCTTGCTTTGCTGGAAAGTGAATAGCATTGAAATGAGAATTAGCATATTTTGTGTGAAAAACATCCGTCACTCACTCCTTACAGTTGAGTTGCCAGCTTTGTTAGCTACTACGCTAGTTGATGATGTGCTGTAGAAATCTGCCAAGGAAGGCCAGACAGTGATGTGGCACCATACAGTACACTTCCAAAAGGCCCAGGTATTTCTGCCATCATGCAGACTTGTAAGGTTTTTCCTTCTCAGTAGGGTCTTATCTTTAGCTTTGCCAACACATCATGACAGCTGAGGGGTGCTAATGTTATCAGCTAGTTATATCGCCACACTCTAATATGACTGCTGTTATACTGTAGGCCTAGCTGCTATGCAACATACAGATTTGGTAATATGGTAAAAGGAATTGTGTTACCATAAGTTCCTGTAAGGGACATAGTAACAGTCAAAAACATAAACACTGACTTCAACACAGCATAGCTGCTTACAATTGCATTTTGTCCTCACAAAAATGACTTCAAATATATAATTTATCCAACATCTGTGGCACAAGACAAAATTTGAAAAATATTTATTATTGCAATTCCGTTTGGTGACACTAAATTAAACAGTTCTCATTTAATGAAATGCTTGTTTTCATTGATGCTCTAGATAATTGGTTCTCAACCGGTGGGTCGTGACCCAATAATGGCTTTTTTTCTGCAATAATAAAATACAATTAACTATGCATACCTAGAATGGCAAACAAATTTACCACATTGTCTTTAATGTAACAGCTATGTCTAGAAGCAGAACCACTGCTATTTCAGTTGAATATCCACCTTATTTTTAACATATTTTTAACAGTCCAATATGCTGCTTGATATTGCAAACTGTTATATTCTCATCGAATAATTTTAATGCATTGGCATAATTATAAATATGCCAGTTTGTAGTGCAGATAGTTTACTGCAATCGAAATGAATCGAAAGCATTGCACATTCACGGGAAATAACTTACTTCCTCATAGCAAAATAAGGTGGCTAAGATGGTAGTAGTTTATCTTTTTAAAGTATTTGACTAATTAGTCATACTCGGTTTTGGTTTGTTTGTTCATTTAGCTCAGCCGTATAATGCAGAGTTTTACTACGACACTCCAAACCCCATTCGCACCTTGAAGAACAATTATTCCTACATCTTACAGTGGACACAGAAAGAGCCCGGCGCCGTGGACAAAATCATCGGCTACTGGATCAATGTCCAACAGGTAAAGCAAACACCCACAGACACTGGAAGCTTAATATTTACTGCTTCTTTCTTTTTCTTTCTTTCTTTCTTTCTTTCTTTCTTTCTTTCTTGGCTCGGTTGGAGGTGGATGAGTAGAATAAGTGTGTTTGTAATAGGAGTCAGGGGAATAGTGTGCTCTATGTAGGAGCAGACAGCGGATCGATCACTGCTTGTACTGCATTAAAGAGACTCTCAGAACCCTACCGGCCCAACACAAGAACACACAAGCAGCCTGATTGGGTCTGTAGTTCATCCCTGCTGGGAAAAAAAAAAAACTGCTCATACACCCTAAGGTGCTCTTTTAAAGAACATGGTCAAGCAGGTCCCCAACAGCTTGTAGTCTATGTGATAAACAAAGAGTTTGGATTAAAATACATTGTCGCTAGAAGCCATTCTTAGGTCATGTTTCTTCTATAACAGTGTCATTCATGAAGTAAATTGACTTTTAGGGTCGACCTCACGGAACGAAAATATTGGTGTTAACACAAATAAATCGCAAATTGAAGTTGCATATTTATAGCATGCTCAAACCTATTGTGTTTAGAAGCTTGAGTTCTCGTTCACAGAGATGAATATGTCCTCATTGTGTCCATTGCACTCGACTTTGCCAGATGGGATTGGATGCTCATGTATAGCTTACTTTATTTCACACCCAATTAGCTGTAATTCACACAGTTCCTGCCTTTTGACCTTCGTCCCTGAGTCAGCAGTGTTAAGGCCGCATGAATATCTGCTTTGCATTTCTGTACATGGTTTAGTGGAGCATTGTCCAAAGTACAGTGTCTGGATGGTTTGCTAAAAATGTAAATATGTCCCAGTCTCCACTGTGAGGCTCACTGACTGAAAAGGTTTTATCTTCAGTGCATAACCCCCCCTATATTTTATATTTAAAGGGGTCATATGATGCGATTTCAATTTTTCCTTTCTCTTTGGAGTGTTACAAGCTCTTGGTGCATAAAGAAGATCTGTAAAGTTGCAAAGACTAAAGTCTCAAATCCAAAGAGATATTCTTTATAAAATTTAAGAGTCAACCACGCCTACCTAAAACGGCTCGTTCTAACACGCCCCCTACGTCTACATCACAATGTGGAAGATTTGCGAAAAAAAGACAGTATAAGTCATTATAATCCGTAATTATGTCACCACTGGATGCAACAAATGCCTCGTTTATAATGGGTTTTAATGTTTTTGTCTCGTCGCTCCGGCCGGGACACGGCATCACAGTATGGTAAGGGGCGTAACATTTCCGTCTACAGTATGTGGAAAATAATGTGTTTTTTGAACCTTAAACCGCATAAACACATTTCATTACACCAAAAACACAAAATAATGTTCTTTTTAGCATCATCGTATGACCCCTTTAACAGTTACAAAAGTTACATATTTAGGCTTATAAGCGGTCTAACACCGCTTATAAGGGCTGTGACGATAAATCGATGCAGAATCGATTCGTGGATGGATTCTGAGATCTTCCGAATGCATCGTGATTCTCTCTGGAATCGATTCTGAGCTTAGATTTTAACAGCAGATGGCGCTCTAATCTAGTTTTTATATGCACACTCAAATGCTCATGAAGAAGAGCGCTGAAGAGCGCTTGTGCGTTCGGCTGAGTCTGTAATTTCACCTCGGCTCAGAATGCTTTTATGATGCCAGATTAATGTAAACACAGCCCACTGTGAACACCCTTGTAATTCGCTTCAAACTTTTCGAATTTTATGAATGATTATTTTAGGTTCAAGTGTGTGTAAGGATTTGGAAACGAGCAGAGTACGGCTGTTTCTAAAGCATGCAGTGCCATCTGCTGTTCAAAACTAAACTCAGAATCGACTCGAGAAAGAATCGCAATGCATTCAGAAAATCTCAGAATCGATGTGGAATCATTTCTCGATTTGCGATGCATCGATTTATTTTCCCAGCATTAGTACTCGTCAATGTTAACTATTCCCAACTGAACTAGAATTAAAGTGTAATGCTTCAGTTTTTAACTGCGAAAGAGTGCGTGGTAAGATGTAACTAAACATTTAATATTTGACAACTGTTTCATGATCAAAATGTTAACAAACAATGGTAATAACCAGTGATACAAACTACTCAAACTTTTTGTCAAATTTTGCTGTTTTGAATCGAAAATACAGGCTGTAATTTACGTGATTCATATACTTTATAGTTGAATGTGATGGGACAAGAAGCATTTTCAGCATATTAGGTATACAAATAAGACTGAATGGATGCATATTTAAAAAAAAATGAAATACAATATATAAAAAATTATATGCATATAATTTGCCAACAGTTCCTTTTGATTTTAATTATTTATTTAATTCATTTGAATAAAAAGACCATTACCAATGGGGTCTTTTAAATAAAAATATTTGTTGTTTGAGTCCTTTTAGATGCAGAAGGAAAGCTGTTTCTTGTGTTATTTATGTGTACTTTTATTTTTTTTTTTTTTTTTCATTTTGTTTCAGAAATGAGCTTGCAGCATACAAGCAGCTAGCTTAGCTTGAAAAATGCACAAATACATTTTTAGCAACCGTTTTTTTTGTATGAAACATACAAGTACTGTCATTGTTTTTGTCATTCACAAAGGCATATTAGACATTACAGAATGCGTCAAGCCAAGCGTACAAAGATATAACACTGTTATGATATGCACTAACTATTCTGCAAAACATGAACTTTGTTCACAAACTTATTGAGCAGTTTATACTGTAAAAACTCCTATTCCTAATGAGTATTTTTGTGTTAGTATGTAGTTAAAACATCTAAAATGCTCCTTTAACAAGATACATTTTCTTGAGAAGCATAACTTATTAACACTTGTTTTCTGAGACTATATCTGGAATATAAGGGTATTTTGTTTTACAGATTTTGTGACTTGTTTTTTTCTTAACAGAAGAGAAAATATCTGCCAGTGGAGTAAAGCAAAATATTAAAGATACATTCTCTGAAAACAAGCATTTGTATGTTATGCAGTGTTATTTCTCAAGTAAACCAGTCTTGTTTTAAGCATCTTAGATATTTTAACAGGAAAACAAGTCAAAACAGTTATGCTGCCTTTAATTTACAGTACTTTCTTTTGGACAAAAAACATCTCAAGTATCCTTCTTGAGGAAGGCAATCCCATAATGCATTACACAAGCTGAATGAAGAAACCTATGATTTAGTACTGAAATTAATTGAAAAAAGAAATAGTTTAATTCAATTAAAATACATCATTTATGTATTTTGTTATGTATTTTTGCACTTTTTTGAACATTGCGTTGTTATGCTCTAAACTAAATTCTATTGAAATCAATCACATCAAGTCAGCTCACTAAGACATGGACAGAGCCAGTGTTTAATCTTTTACAGGCAATGTTTCGATTAAATAAACTACATCTTCGAAGCATTCACTTGGATTCCCTCCACCCCCCGTGAGTCCCGGTTGAAATCTGGCCACCCTACGCAACAAACAAACACCCTCTAACATTTAAGGACGACCCCGGCAGCGAGGGCGATCAGACGGGAGCGTGTCACGCTCTCTCGCCACAGAAACCGTGTGCGCTTTGTGACTCTTCATCAGATTTTTTGATTCTGACGTCCTAATCATCTATTCATAGAAACCTGGCCCAGAGTGGGGCAGCAGGAACGGAAGAGCGCCGATGAATTATGGAAGGAGGCAGGAATCAAAGCGAACGGGGAGGGGGAGATTAGCCACTTGTCTTTGTGTGCATGAATAGCTAATCTTCCCCTCTTTAAAACCTTACCTTAAGTAAGAGTCTACAGGGACCAATGAATTAGCATCCTGACTGCAGCAAGCGTGCATTAACTTTTATGAGCGTGCGTGTGTGTGTGTGTGTGTGTGTGTGTGTGTGTGTGTGGGGGTGAGAGGGAGACAGATTATAGATGAGCTTCTCAGTAGACTCAGTTGAGTATATGTGCATATTTGATCTTAGTAGAATAACAATGAATGTCTGTGTGTGAATAGTGAAATATAGTTCATTGCGTTTGTGTGTGTGTGTATCTATACGGTCAGGACCGTGCGTTGGCGTGTTCGTCTGTGTATGAATTTGTCCAAGGTGTGAATGCGCTGCGCTGCTTTGCAGTGGTAATGTTGATAAATGTTTTATAGATGTTGCTCTGAGAAATGTAGACAAGAAAGGGAAAAGAGAGAGGGGTAATGAGCTGAAGAAAGCAGTGCCATTGTTTCTCACCGAGACGAGAGCGTTCAATACAAAGAGTTTCAGTCTCTAACTTTAGAAACGTCTCTTGTTACTCATCTAGTATTGGGACTATCACAAGATATATGTGCGAGAATAGAAAGTAAATTAACAGCGTAACAGGCACATACTTAATATAGAGATATGATAGATCATCAAGTAGTTTTTTTGACAGATAGATGGGAGAGTCGTATTCAGAAAAAAATATATACTGTAAATTAACTGTCAAACATTAGTCACTTTTTATTGTACTTCACATGCTTTGTAACATATCTCACAACTGTACTTGCCTTTTGTATTAGTTGTTTTTAAAGGATTTTATTTTTGCCTTTTTACTATGTCATATAAAATAATTTGTAAAAAAATCATTTTAATTTTTTATCTAATTATTATAATTTAACTATAATAATAATAATAATAATTACTATTATTATTATTTCCACTTTGAAATAAATCAGGGATGCATAAGAAATTTCATAACAGAAAACAGTTTGATTTTTTAAAATAATTGTATTTGTGCTTTTGCCTTCAGTCATAAAAACAACTAATAATTATAATAATAATAATAATAATTATTATTATTATTATTGTTGTTGTTGTTACTAATACAATACATTTTTTATATTAATTTATTTATTAGAAATACATTTTGTTTTGTAATATTTGTTATATTTTTGTGGGTTTTTTTTTGTCAGATTTAAAAAAAATTTTTTTGCCTCTCTTGCCTTCTTGGAGAAAACGCCCCTACATTTGTGCACTTTTTCATTCTTTACTTAAA